GTCGCCGCCACTACCGTCGTCGCGTAATATCAGTCTACCGTCGCCGCCATTATCGTCGCGTAATATCAGTCTACCGTCGCCGTCACTACCGTCGCCGCCACTACTGTCGCTACGAATATCAGTCTACCGTCGCTGCCACTACCGTCGCCGTTATTAGCAATTTACCGCCGCCGTCAAATCCATCAACCGTCGTCGCCGTCGCAGCTCCCGCGCACGCTCTCGGCTACCCTTAGTGGGAAAGCTAGAGCGCGCCATCCTACAATACACATACTAGTGGAATACCGTGTCATAGTTAGGCATTAAAGAATATTTCTTATATAGCGTAGAAAAATAAGGTTGCTAAACCGTAAGTAATTAGATATTAGTAATTGTGAACGGGGATATAATACTGTTGAATCCGCGAGTTATATTGTCAAAGACGTAGTACTACCGTGAGAGTATACGTAAAGATCTCAATACATTCTGTTTATATTCTAACTAATCATATGTTTATGTGTTATACTAAAATTATATAATTAATGTGATCAATAAAGATTAACGTAATTACCTATAAAAAACCTTGACATTGTTATTTTTATATATATATATATACATATGTGTAAAGGATAAGGTATAAAACCGAACCGTTACACGGATCATTCTCCTCTTCCCCTCCACTATTCTCACAAATTTATACTTTTCATGGAGCTAAATAGTCCACCTGCATGCCCCTTGTCTATGCACTGCTGCCTGATAAGACCTAGACTACTTACACAAAATTTCTGATCACTTAGTACTAAACTCATCATTAAAACTTAGTGCATTAACATGATAGACTTCGTGGAAGCAGTTCAAAAATCCGTCAACAAAGTTTTTCCGGAAGGTCTGATAAAATGCTGTTTCTTTCATTTTTCGCAGTCAATATGGTTTCACATTCAGTCTTCTTCTTTACAACAACGATATATGAACGATGCAGAATTTGCACTGGAAATTCGTCGAATAGCTGTTCTTGAGTTTATTCCAGAGGAGGCTGTGGACAATGCTTTCAAAACTTTGTGTGAGAGTGAATTTTACGAAAATAATGAGCCAGAACTTGCTCCTCTCCTCAACTACTTCGATTATACTGTAATGATATGCTCACATATCATTATAACAATTCTTTAAAATGTAACAAGTAAATAAATAACGGCCAGACTGTCGCACATAGAATTCGGAAATCTCCAGACCTCAATACATCATTGTCACTAAATGTCACAGACAATATAGTCTAATTATATTTGTGCGTTAGGGCTGAGCAAGAAGCCGGCGAACGACGGCGTACGTGGTATGTGTGTCGTGTGTGTGCTGGCACACAGATGGCAGCCGACAGGAAACCCGTAGTGTGGGTCGCCGGGCTTCGTCCGCTGCCTTTTCGTCTGCGTCCCGAGCAAACGCGCCCGCGTAACTCATCATCCGCCCCGCAGGACCGGCCTGGAGAACTGTGTTTTGGTGACCAGTGGCCATTTACTTCCGACATCATTGCATCACCCGCTCGCCTACACGTACCCCCCACTTCTCTTTGTCCTGTATGATGCCTTTTTTTTTTTTTTTTTTGTTAAAGTCATATTATTTATATTGTTTATTGCAATTTTTTTCTTTGCACCTATACTGTGTTTTTTTCAATTTACTGGCTGACATCATTGCAAAACCCTCTCGCCATCACGTACCCCCCACTTCACCTTGTCTTGTTTGATTTTTTTTTTTTTGTTAAAGTCATATTATTTATATTGTTTATTGCAATTTTTTTCTTTGCACCTATACTGTGTTTTTTTTCAATTTACGGCTTACAACCATTCAAAATTTTAATTTACTTTCGTAGAGTGCTTTACTCTCATATAATGTTATTTAAGCATACAATTATTGTAAATTTTTCAATAATAAAGAAATTTGTTTACACAGTAAAACGTTGTTTTTTATTGTTCGTATTAAAGAGTACGATTTTATTTGTTTCGACAGAATAATGGACTTTAAAAAATACTAAACAACAATATTGTTAGATTACGTACCAAATATCAATAAAATATATCGATGGTCTTGGCTACATGAATGTAAGTTTATCGGTTGTAGTGAGATTTATCCTGCCTCAAAACATGATAGGTACCAGGCACAAAAATCAGTACATTAATCGCTCAACTCAGAATATCTTAGAATAATACTAATAACTATTGTTTTTGTTGTATCAACACCACGTAGGTATATTGCTTTCGTAAAAGTTTAGATACTTAGAGTAAAGCTACTAGAGTCTGACGAGAGACGAGAGACGATCGAATTTGCACACGTTGTCCATTGACGAATAGTATAATACATTTGACTGGAATATGAATAACAGGGACCTTTCTTGAGTGAAACAGCCTCTCACGAGTGCATGCGCACCACCAAATAGTGTAACAACCTCTCTGTACCGAATTCTAAACTCCTTATGACGCGCAATAATCACTGCGTTTTATTATTTTGAGTAATTAATTTGTGTTACCTAAAATGTAATTATGAATTTTGTTTTACATATTTCTTAGTATTTAAAATAATTACTATGAAAAAAAGCAGTAAATCCCGATCGCTTACTGCTTTTGGATCTAGTATTTGGACATACAGCCTTATTTGTTATTTTTTTATCAATTTATATGAATTTATAAAGAGAAAACCCCTTAATTTGTATTGCAAGAATCGATAGTGGTTTAAAATATCTAGCGATAGCCAACAACAACTCATTTTTGACAAAAATGGAGTTACTGCTTAATGTTTTATGATGGCAATAGCTGTTGTACACGCTTAATTCATTTTACACATCAACTTGTGTTTTTCACATTTTTCTTTTGTAGTTTAAACCAAATTTTAAGACACGTGTGTATGATGTTTACTGCAACCTATACTTTTTAAATACATATTCCAATATTTACTAAATATAAAGTTATAAATCTCATGCTATTTTAACAGTTGACACTGTCGGAATTTAGTTATAAAAAACAAATATTATGTATTTTTGCTGTGTGTATTTTTATCATACTATATTATACGCATTATAGATATTGAGTACCTATCCCAAAACTTCTGTATTCTATACATTTTATTTTTATTGTTTCTACGAATAAGAATTTTAGAATACTAAAGTCTAACAGTTTAAAATAAAATATGGTAGGTATATTATTTTACTGGGTGTACAATATTTAAAGCAAATTTTTGTCAGCTCGTCATCCAATAAAACAATAAATATCCACTTGATCAAAAATCCTCACACAAACATTAAAGTAGTTGGTTTGTTGAATATCAACATCAAAAAAACACTATTAAAAATTTAGTTCGAACGGGCGTACCATTCTGCTCTATAGTATATTCAAAGAGATTCAATGTAATAGAATATGGTCTATAGTCTATGGGCGTATTCAATTTGAATTCAACTTTGAATAACGTTTATCATTTTCTTGTAATTTAGTTCCAAAACATCCCAATTTTACATAGGTATATTTAATATTTTTCCAGCATCACTGATAATTTAAGAATAATTTGATTTCAGCCTACCGGCTACCATATTAATAATAATATAAGTGATAACAATATACAATATCCTAGACTAACATGTCATCTTCTCTCAAAATCCTTTTTCGTATACACAATGATATCATATCATTTAATTCAATTATAATACCATCCATTACAGCGACCAAATAGACACCTAATGTTCATCAGAGCGACATCCACTAACCCGCTTTTTTTATCATGATATTGAACAATTGAAATCAATTAGGTTCAAGTAATTTTAATGCTTTAACTGCTGTATATTGTATTTAAGTTATTTTGATTATTATTTTAATAGTGTGTATTCACCGTGCTATTTACCACGGCGTCGGTACATAATGATTGTTGTTATTATACTAAGTATAAGAGTGAATTCACCTACTGTAAAATGTAGAGTAAAAATATTATCTAGGACACCTCGAGATGGGTTGGTTAACCGACTATGAAACGGTCAAACTTTAGGTCCCACTCTGATGGACAACTAGAAAAAGACAAATCTGTCTTTTTGATCTTCTTAAACAAGGATTTTAAACGTCTATACTGTCTAAATTGAATTGAAGGAAAGAAATTAATTCAATATCCCAGACACCCTATACCGAGTATTATCTTTTATCAGTTACCAAAAAAATAAGTTCCCATTGTTACATACGCATGTAATTTGATATCAAGTATAAATAATATATATTTTATTCTTGTATAAAGCAGACACGATACTATGGCACTAGCACATACCTACCTACTAACAAATGTGTCGACTCAAAAACTAGGGAATATCGGGTATTCCACGTTTGAACCCATTAAGTTAGCAAAGCTACGTGCGTAACCGAAATGGCTGATTACTGAATAAGCACATTCTGAAGGCTCCTGTTGAGCCGTTATAGTGAGTTGGTCGTCGAGCTAATTGAATCAAGAAAGTGACAAGCGCGTAGCTCTACAGAACGTCTATACAGAAAATGTATTATTTTGTTCAGACTATCCAACGATGTAACGATGTTGTATTTCATACACATAATTCTTGAATGTTTAAATTAATATTCTAATAAATAAATAAGTGTTAATACGAATATACTTTTTAATAATAGACTTCGTGTTCCATTGTTTCAAATATCATTCCAAGGTTAAGTAATGTACAGGTGTACAACAGTGCACTACACTCGCCATTTTAAAAAATTGAAACGCAGAACACAATTAAATGTAAAAACAATTACAATATTTACTAGCTAACGAAAATGGTAGTTTAAAGTAAAACAAATAAATAAATTCAAAAACTTCTTAATTCTCAGCTACACTGTACATGATATTACAACTATAGAAAAACATACTAGAATTATTACTACCTTATATTTTTTAAAATAGTTTACTCAATTGTCAATGAATACACATGATGTGTTTTTTATTTGCTGAATAACACTATAAATAGGTGTCAAAAATAGAAAACATATTATAACTTTTCAAACATTATTCGTATATGCTGTGAATATTATTCATTTATTGTAGAAACATGGTCAAAAACATTAATTATATGTTGGCTATATTTGTTACGTTAAATTCTATAGGCTCTATATATACCGGACGTAAGTACCTACATATTTTTTTTTCTTTACATAATACATCATTTTTGGAAATTAAATTATACAGCTATGAATATTTAAGAATTTAATACTTAAACTTATATTATTTGTCATGTTTTCTAATATCAAAACCCAATCTAAGCAATAGGTATACCCTAGCTGTAATACTATTCAACTGCTTATAATTTATTAAGTACAATTTCATTTTAAAACCACAATTGTTGAGAATTTTATATTAACTAATATCATTATTTTAGATAAAATTATAATAATTGTAGGTACCTATCAGTGTAGGTTTTTATATTTTACATTTTAACATACTTAAAGAATGAATCACCCACATGTATTTCGTTGTCGTACAAAGAGAGGTAGGTACCTACAACAGGAAATATTAGTGCAGTTGAACTAACCCTCTATTGTAAACTTTAATCGACTAATAATCAAACTTAAGGTTACAATATTATCTCGATTTCACGAAAAACATTCATTGGTATTTTAATGTTTAAGTGGGTTATAATTTTATAAACATTGTAAAATATATTATGATGCTCAAAATGCTCATAACTCACATTAATACAATCAAATTCGCTTATAACGATCTTCTAAGAACCTTGAGAATCTGATCGTTATATCCGGATCATAAAAATGTGACATGTTTTTTTTGAAAAATTAATTTATTAAACACATTTTATACTGTTCAATTTTATTTAAGATTACATATTTTAACATTCAAAGTATTTGTTATTTTTAATAAAAATACATAATATATATTATTATGGTATATTTTCACGATTTGTTTGAAAAATAATCTATTATAGTGGGTTGCTTATAATTTGAATAAGATTATTAACAAAATTAGAAATATTGTTTATTGCCATTGATACTTCTGACGTATTTATATCACAGTTTATCGAAACAAAAAAACGCACCTGATCAATATAAAAATACATATCCGAAACAGACGTTACTTTGAATGATACTTTGACGGTCTTTTATTTTTACATTTTTAACTTATACGGAATGTACCAAAATTCCAAAACGGATATCAACCAAAACGGCGACTAAAAAACGTATGCTGTATAGTGTAAACCAGGGATGAGCGACTCAAAGTTACTTGAGGGCCAATTTTTAGAAAATCTAAATTAAGCAGGCCAGAGCATAGAAATCAAAAAAAGGCATTCAAAATATACATTTTAATTTGCATTTATTTTTTTTATAATGTAATAAGTAATAAATAAAAGGTTATTAAAAATAATTTAATATTTGTTTAGTGTGAGTTTTCAGTAAGTGCGGTTTCTAATGACATCGCGGCACAATCGCCTTACGTACTCATACGTGTGTATATACCTAGTATAACTATATTATGAAATTTATACATTTAACAATTCTAATGCAGATAACAATATTATTATATCGATGAGATAGAGTATAGACTATTTGTTTATTAGATTTTAGAGTATAGACGATAAACTTTAAAATTGTATTATGCAATTTGAAAATGTAGCGCGGGCCACATAAAAAAGGCTCGAGGGCCGCCAGTTACCCACCCCTGGTGTACGCATACATTACGGTCGGACAAGACACATTATCATCTGTTACAGATTAGATGAAGAACTATCACTTTAAACGAAATCAAATTTACTACACAATGCACATATTATTAATCGCTATAGGTGATTATAAAAACCAATTTTCGTTTCAAAATAACATCGCTTTATCCGGATTATCGTTATAACCGATATTGTTCTATACGAATAAAAGTACTACACTTAACATATAAAACCAACCAAATACATTTCTAGGAATTGTTTTACCCGAAATATCGTTACATACGGCATCGTTATAAGCGAATTTGACTGTATTTAAAAATCATTAGAAGCATGTAAATTGACCTTGATAAAATGTTTTTTTAAATAAGATAATATTGGACATCTCAATTTAATATTAAAATTGACATCACAAAATTGATTTTGCTAAACACACATTTTAGAATATTAGTACCTAAGAAGTTTGAAAAAGAGTTTGATGCCCCTTCTAAGTCAATCATAGTACAACCTCATCATCTTTGTAATGCAACATATTTTATACTTGCCATTAATTATTTTTAATCAAGCCTATCGAATATCTCATGTAAGATCTTGTATTAGTAAGTATTATTTTTTTTTATTTTATATAAGCTATTTAGCTCAACATTTACAATATATGCATAACATAATGACTAAATTTAAACAAAAAATTGTATTATCCATCAATTATTACATAATATAATTATATCGGTGTAGTGTTACAATAAGTGAAACTAAAACTATAGATTTTTTTGTTTTAATTAGTTTTATTACACAATCTGTAAATATATAATTTTTACAATCAGCGTAAGTGTTGTAATAGATTAATAAAAGTGACTGAAGACTTAAGCGAAGAATCCATCCAGTGATGGGAGTTGTGGATGGGTTTTATTCAGTCAGGAAGTCCCGGCACCATTTTCATTTTAATCGTCTTCCAGGGTCGCCTGGAATGCTGAGGGTAGATAGGTTTCAGATTAGAGGATTACGGTGGTTGGAGAGATTTGAGAGGAATCTTTTATACAGAGTTTTGGCTACGAGTTTGACTGTTGGAATAAAGAGGTCCTTATGGAGTGTATCGTCTGAGACGTAAAAAGGGGCTTTGGTAATTTGTCGAAGGCATTTGGATTGGAATATTTCTATAATTGCAATAGTTACAACCTGGAGTTGGGAGCAGTTGTAAGAAAAATGATAAAGAAGTTGATATCACGACTTATACCATAATGTACCAGATCCAGCAGTGACACCCCCAATAAGAATTAATTTACAGTGACGCCTTGTTAGCGGCACTCGTCGCTACGCTCCTTAGCGCAGTCGCTCCGCTCCGCAAATCGAAAACATCCCTCGACTTGCTGTGCAACACCACCTCAAGTTGGTCACAGTGTAACCGCTGTTATACCAGGGAACAACCAATCTTATCATTTTTCGGACAAGTGCATATCACTTTACAACCTGATGGTTATACGAAATAATATAATTATATAGTATGCGTTATTTTATTTTTAGTGTAATTTAAACAGATAAGATAAGAGAAAGAAATAATTGAACAAAAATAACAGTTTTAGATATCATCCTTGGTTTTGAGTATATTAAGCACATCTAAGAAAAGTATAATTAATGGGCCCATTTCGGCATAACGGGTCAGATATAAATTGGTAAATAATACCGGATTTGGGTTCCGTGGATGTGTTTGGCTAATACACGCAACTGCATAAGTTTTGGTAATGGGTTGAGTATGGTGGTTAGTGGTATTGACAGGTGGGACCTTTGGAGATGTTTTTTTTTTTAACATCGGACAACCTCTGAAGTTGCAGACTGTATGGTCCATTGAGCAAAGGACGCAAGTAGCGGGACTATAACGATCTTTGGTGCAGTCAGAGGAGCTGTGGTGGTTTTCCCCACATTTCACTCAGTGCAAAGCGAAATTGCAATATTGGTGTGGCCATATGTCCGGCATTTGTGACATTGCGCAGAGCCACGATTCTGTTTGTGTTGTTTTTCGATTTTTACTCTGGTGTTAAGTAAAGTTGTAATCTTAACCTCTTAAGGACTTCTACATTATTTGCGTTCTGAGTAACATCCACAAAAAACTTTGGTAGGGAACGTCTGTTTTTGTCTAAGACGTTTTGAATCCGTTCGACTGAATGTCCCATTTCAGATAGCTCAGAAACAATATCGGTTTCAGTGGTAGTTAAATGTAAATTTCTAATAACGATATTGTGTGGGTGAAGTAGACAGGTTTGAATGTGTGGAAGCTGGTGTTAGTATCGTTTAAATGACTTACGATTTTATTGAACTATTGAAGTTATTACGACCCGTGGGCTGCACAATAAGGTATGATGTCGACGACTTTTAAGTGAAGCATTTAGGACGGCTGAGTCTTGTTGGCAACAACACGATTCCGCAAATTTACAGAATCGTGTAGATTTTAGTAGCCATTGATAAACATACACGATTCCGAAAATGTCATATGCATACACACGATTCTGCATAATTTTAAATGCAACGTTGCCATACAATTGTCTGCTCTTGTTATTTTTGACAAATTAAATTTTTTCTTTCATTTTATTAAGTTGTTTGGTTCGTAAAATGAGCAAGTATTTCCATCTACTTAATCATTAATCAATTGCTATATACAATAGAGTTTAATGACATGATAAAAAAATAAATATAATAATATGTTATATATAATATAAAAAAATGTCAGCGATATATTGTACACAACTATATTAAACAGTTAATAAGTTGGTAGTTATAAGACTATTAGCTAATAATTAATTATACGTATTGTAAAACATATAAAAATATTAAAATTTTCAAAATAAAAACTATAATTTTACAACGTTGCATTTCAAATTATGCGGAATCGTGTATGTATATTAATGGATTTTATAACCTTCACCGGTTTTGTTAATAAGTTACTAAATGATCGAATTTTCTTACATTTATATGAATACCGGTGGAGCCGGCGGGTCATCATCCTGCACGAGATGTGGTTGGTTGATGGGATTGTTGGTGGAGCAATTAGGTAGTTTGGAAGATACCTTGTAGTTATAATCATCGATATTGGGAACGGAGTAACTGTTAGGAGAGATAAAAGTGTTTGATTTTTCATCACCGTGGGTAAGTGACATAGATGAAGATGACAAATTTCGTTTGGATGTAGTGGTACTATTACGAGGTGGTGTAAAGACAAGACAGTTTTCTGCCTGTGGTTGTTCATAATGATGATAAGTTACATAAACACTTACGGAATGAAAATATTGATATAATCGACGGCAATAACAGAGCGAAAACTGCATGACGTGTATGCGTTCATGTTACGGCGTTACAGTCGAACGAGTAAGTATTTTTTTTTTTTACTTTACAACATACCTTTACACAATTATTCATGTATATACAGTGAGAGTGAGTCCAGCAGCTTTAATTATAATGTGATAACATCCCTACCATAAATTATTATTTATATAAATGTAAGTTACATAGGTATTTTAATTTTATGCAAAATGCAAGTATGATAAATAAATTATGTGTTAAGAATTTAAATTTAATAATGCAAAGTTCTTGATCACCTTCTTACTCAAAAGGTCAAATAACTCATCAATTAGCGTTAGTCAATCTAAAACACACGAAAAAAACAAAAATCTCGGAATGCTAGCAACTCCATTAACATTTCACACGTGTCTCGTAAATCACTCATATCCAGATATGTTGCTTGAACTTAGTTATCATCTCTGAAAAACCTAAACTCAAATCACGTAAGAAGTATAACTGCTGTTTTTAACAATATATCTTCAGCCAGATATCTAGCATGAGGCTATTTACAATACGCTTTGAATATGTTTTGTGCATAATATATATATATATAATATGCACATGGTTGCTCGAGTAAATGCAGCGTAAAATCTGTAGATAGAGCTTAACTCAGCGCATTGTGGTGAAATGGTAAACTGGAAGCACTGGAAAGAGCTATAATATTAATCTTGAATAAGATTTTTGCAGTCCTTCATGGATTCACTGTGTTCGTCTCTACATTTGTTAGGTTAGCCTATGCTTTTCCGGGTCTCCTTTCATGGTATATTGTTGGCTGGTTCATTGGTCGATTGTAGACCAGATTTGTTTTGTTGATATACAATCTGCGGTAATAAAAGATAAGGTAGATGGAAAAATAATGTGTATTAGCAGGGGTGGGCAGGGTTTGTAAAAGTCTATTGATCTAATATTTAAATTTCTTACACTCATAAAAATCTAAAAGAGCAATTAGTATTTTTACCATAAAAAAACATATTTTCAACTGTAATTACACCAATAGCCAATAATATGTTGTCGAGGAGTGTCGATTAATAGTATGTTATATAAATGCAAATTATAATTATCAGATTCAGAATCTACAGTTGAAGATAATACAAATTTAAGATGTACTATCCCTTACTAAGTCGACTGCTATATTTTCCTTATGTGGGTCACACGATTTTAAAATGTTATAAATATTCGTTGTTATTTGAAACGTCGTATTATTTTTAATTTCAGTCGAAATGAGGAACCATAAATTTGTAGTAGGGTTTTATGCAGGCAAGTATTTAATTAGATCTTTGTGTGTGAAAACTATTTTGATAGTATGCCATTCATTGTTTAAACTTAATACTCTTATAATATACTACGTATTTTGTGAGTAAAATATAAAAATGATACAAAATATATTATTCATAAATCAACGATTACAGCAGAATATAAGGAACACATCATAATTTTTCGGCTGATAATATTTATTGTCCCAATTTAATGTAACTGGCCCAAGAAAATGGATGAGTGATTTATATTTATGTCAACTTATAGCGTCTTCTAGGATTGGATAAAGTTATGTTTTTTGAAAACCATGGGCCCGGAACCAAAACGTACTAAATCAATTTTATCAAAAATCCACTTTTTGATACACGCAGGTTAATTGATCAATCCTCTATAATAAAAGTTCACATCCAACCTTTTAGGTCCATTATTTAAAGAGTTATCCAGAACTAAAAGGTGCTAAATCAATCAGATAGATAAAACCAAAAGGTTCTAACTACATGAAAAAATAAATTAGTGATAACCAAAAAGTACTATCTCATATTCACAGTATCAACCACACAATAATATGATAGAGCAGTATTATTAATTATGGTACATTTTTATTAACAATACAAAGATTGTTTTGAATAACTTACAGTATCGACATATCAAAGGGGGAGGATCAAATTTGTGGAGAGTATTAAGGTTTAGTTAAGCAAATCCGAAACACCTTCTCAAAAGGTATGCATATTTTTAATTTTTTTAACCCACTCCCCCCCCCCC